TATATATATATATATATATATATATATATATATATATATGTTTTAAGTCGATGGTATTTTTTAAATTTTGGAGTTGTTTGGAGCGATAAATATGGTATAATAATTTTAAGAATAAAATATAAGATTATTTTTTTCTACCTGATTGGTTAGTGGTATTAGTCGATCCTGGGATAAGCAATCCCCTATATATATATATGGTAAAATAATTTATCTCGATATAATTAATTTTAAAATAACTTATTCACAAGACTAATTCATATTCACATCGAAAAAGACTTATTTAATAAAAAACCAAGCGCTGTAAAAAAAATCGCTTGTCAAGTAAAATTTATGAACTAATAAGGCATTTATTGCAATAATTATCAAAATTTGTGTGACATTAGCTAAACAAAGGCATAACAATGATAAATCAAACTGTTTCAACATTAATAATGAATAATTAACGTCTGCTCGAATTTTAAGTCATCATAAACAAAATATATAAATTTAACTTTTATTTTGGCCTTTGAATGTGGCTTTACTAATGTTTTTTCATTAATAGTTTGTGATTCCATGTCATTAAACATTTGCGAATAAGAAAACATCTATTATTTTTTTGTAACAGACTAAAACGAAAAATATATTAATACGTTTATATATATAAGATCGATTTTAGTATGATTTATTAGGCCCTTAGTAACGCGGAGTTTTGCATCAAGTATATGTATTTTATATATTATAACTTAGATAGTAGTCAAAATAAATATTCCAAATGTATATAAAATTATTGAAATTTTTGTCTAGTTTTAATTTGCCATTTTGTGTTATTGCGTTTAGTAGGTATGTTCTTGTGGAGCCTGTTTGCTAAAGATCAAGCACACTGTCAGTTTTCGTTATTTTTTTATTTTTCGAGAGTTAAATTTTATTCTATTTTATATTATTATTTTTATTGTTCTCCATAAACTTGTAGGAAAATATATTATTGGTTCATCTTATTTTATTTTATTTTTTTAAAAATAAAGCTTTTGAATTAGGGAGTATGTGGAATTTTTGATTTAACCAATAAATTAATGAATGAGAAAATGTCATCGATTTACTTGTATGGATTGGATTATCAATTTACACTCTATTTGGATTATTGTTATTCATTATATTGTATTGTATCGTTATTATATTTATAATATTTATTTTATTGTTACTTAATAGGTATTGTATCGTATTGTTAAATTTTGTTATTGCGTAACAATGAAAATATCCATTTTATCGAATAATCGATTCAGTGTATTTCCATTGTTAGTTAAATTTTTTTCCAATTATATCGTTACATTATATTTCAAAATACTATTTTACTCTTTACCTTATATTATTTAATTATAGTCAAGCCTCCTACCCTAGAATAATAAGAATATTTTAGTAAATTTATAAATTATAATATAGTACGATACAATCATATCAAACAATCAAAAATGTTATATTAAACAATAACAATAATTAAGTCTAGCCAAACATCGTATCTACCATACAATATAGTATAATATTATACAATACAATATAATACATTATAAAATAATGAGCAACAATTATCCAAACAGCGTGTTAACTAGTAGTTCAAAACGTTTTTTGTATTAGTGACTTGTTTTTTCAATTTAAAATTTAACCAATAATCCGATTTGTTAACTTTAGTGCCTTTTTACTCATTTTCTTCGCACTAGAGTCATACATATTTTGATATCATAATGATTCGATTATCGATTTAATAAAATCAAATTGAACCAACTGAATAAATAGCTCTAGTTTGAATTTGTAGATTATAATTAAGATAATATTTTACTCCATCGTATCACATTTTTTAATTTGGTGATGAACAACATATAATTACTTAGTATTTTACTTTTGTTTTTTGGCGGTGGCTCTTGTTGGGAAGGTATGATGACGACTGTCAAGAATTATAATATAGGTGTGAAAATGATGAGTTATTTAGTTGAGACAAGAGAGTATGTAGCGTTCGATACGATGAAAAATATTTTTTGTAAAAATATTTTAAGAAAATTAAGATGCTTTTTATTTTTATGTGTCTATAAATGTATAAGTGAAAATAAATTATTTATATCATAGAATTAAGTTATCCAACGTTGATAAGATACAGAAGCATTCTGTTGAGTCGACACTGATTTTTGAATTTTTAAGACACAATTTTTGAATTTTATTGATAACAACGTTGTACTTTTAAGACACGATTTTAAATTTCACTTGCATGGTTTTAAAATCTAAGGCATGTTCTTTGAATTTTACTCGTTAAATCTTAATCTTTAACACATTGTTTTTTCGACTAATTTATGTCAAGTATAGCCATTTTCGAATTCCAACTTGATATAATAATTTTGGAGAAGCTACATGATTAGATATATTATACTATTACTACTATTACTACTACTACTACTACTATTACTACTACTACTATTATTATTATTATTATTATTATTATTATCTATACTTTCAAAATATTACGTATCTTATCACTAATTAAGAATTCTCTGTCATATATTGACGAAGAAAAAACTAGATACATACACTTTTGTTATCAGATACATTAAAATAAGGAGAGAGGCAAGCGGATCGAGAGTGAGGTGAACAAGATTCATTATGTATATATATAAGATACAAGCGAATCACACTAGGTACATGTATATGCATGTATCTGGTGTGATTCACATATAAACAAAATGCCAAATACATAGGAGGGTGGCGAGCGAGAAGGGAGGGAGGCTGAGGAGATTTTTTCATGTATCCCAGATAAATGAAAATCCATTTGGTTACAATATATCTTGAACAAATTATACCTAGTTTTGACAATATACATCACGAGATACATGTACCTGGATATATCCAAAGGTATATGAAAGAGCCAAAATTAGTAAGATTCGTAATATTAGAAACTAGAGTGAATCTAAGTAATTAGCAGTAATGAGTTCTACGTAAGTTTCCCAAAAAGAATTGTAAAAGCTATTAGTACAACACAATTTTTATTGGGCCTAAATATTAGCCCAATCACTACAATCCCAAACATCCAAAGCCCAAATAACCCCAAAATAGCCCAAAAGCCCAACAATACCTCACAAACCACAAGAGCGAATCTCTACAGAGCAAACAATCGAAAAGAGGGGAAAATTCGCAGAGAAAAATCCCAAAATCGAACAAACGAAAGTCAATTTGGCAATGGAGGTTCCAGGTTCATCGAAGAAGATGATTGCAACACAAGAAGAAATGGTGGAGAACAAAGTGCCATTAGCATATAGGGATCAGTGCGCACACCTTTTGATCCCTTTGAACAAGTGTCGGCAATCGGAATTTTATCTTCCATGGAAGTGCGAGGATGAGCGCCATACATATGAGAAGTGTGCGTATGAGCTTGTTATGGAACGGATGCTTCAGATGCAGAAGATCCGTGAAGAGGAAGCACGAATGAAGCAAAAGGGACATCAATCCATTCCTCTCATTCCTAAGACTGCTAATGCCTAGTTTTTTTTCCCATCATCTAGGTCAGTTACCGCTACTTGATTTCTTTGTTGTTATAGTGATTGTTTGAATTGATCTCCTTATACATAGTTTCAGTTTTGCTCCAAAATTGCTGTGAGTTTTATTTTTGATGATGGTTTTTGACTGAATGTATAGGTTAAGATGTTAACTTGATGAAGGAATTAAATAGTTGTTTGTGAAGTTTGTTTAAATATTGCAAAAACTTGTGTTGTTTGTGGAATTGTGTCAAACATTTTGATAACTTAGACAGTGTTATACAAATTGGAACGGAGAACTTAGCTTTTATTTATTTGTTTCGCATTTTACTGACTTAGATTTCTCGGAAGGATACATGTAGGATTTAGAGAACCAGAAGACCTAAAGAATTTAACTAGTTTTTTACTAAAAGACGAATAATGTTGTATTGAAATGAGAAATTATAGTAATTGTTAAGTAGAAGGAGAATTCAAGTTCCAATACCGAAAGTGTTGTTAGTATTGGAATGCAACCATCGCTAAAGTTGCAATGGATCCTAGGAAACTAGGCTCATATCTAGAGAAAAGTATGAGTTTTGTGGACCGATATCTTGTACTTTTTGTTTGTTTGTGGAAGGTGGCATGTACTCAGCAGGTTAATTGACAAGCAGTAAAGTAGCGTAGAAACCACCATTATAATAGACACGTGAAAATATTGGATTAGTAGTTAAGTAGTTTGAAAGTTGTATATAGGAATTCCCTCTAAAAGAGTAGTATATAGTAATTATTATTTGAAGAATCGTGTTGACATTTTGGTAGTTCCAAAATTTGGTGAGTGTTATATAACTTGGGAAGGAGAAGTTGGTTTTATTTATTTTGTTTTGCCTATCTCTAATTTAAGAGATATCTTGGAGATTAGTATATCCATTTAAGCAGAAATGTGAGTTCAATGACCTTCAATATATACAGAATTCCCGGTTTGGCAATAAAAGACATATTATTTAGTATTGAATAGAGTAGAGTAGGTACTAAAGATTTATATTGGGGCTCCAATATGTATTAGGTCAGATGTATTTTTCTTGGAACGAAACAGGCTGTTGGATTAAGTGTAGTGGACATGGATTAGTCATATAGCCCACCTACACTGCTCTGGGATTGTGAGCATACTAGGAGTGATAAGATTCGAAATATGATATCCGCGGAAAAGTAGGAGTAGCCTTGATTGAGGACAAGATGCCAGAAGGTTGGATGAGATGGTTCGGGTATCTGAAGAGAAAATGCACGGATGTCCTTGTGCAGAGGCGTGAGAGGTTGGATGGTTTCAGGAGAGGTAAAGGTAGGCTGAGGAAGTGTTGAGGAGAGGTGATAAGGCAATACATGACACAGCTTCGGCTGACCTTGGACTTGACCTTAGATAAGAGGTTATGGAAGACACAATCACATAATAAAGGTTGAAGGTTAGTTGGTTAGTTGAGTGTTTTCTCACTATCCATCCATACTTGTAGTCATAGTCACAATCACATAAATAGATTTTAGGGGCATTTGGCACAACAAAACTCAGTATCCAGCATATGATTGGCCTTGCATTGAATAAAAGTTAAGGAGATCATAATGGATTGTTTCTTTGGAAAATAATGTGGTGCATGATTGAGATTATGGTGGCACATCTTTAGATTCTTCACATATCCATGCTTTTCACCTCAACTGTTCTTTTAGGAATTTAAGGATTTTCTCTGAAAGCTGTTGGTGTTCAGTATGCTCTAGCACATGTCCACGATGTGTCTATTGGAAACTGACTTCGTGTCTGATTGAGATTATAGTAATAAATCTTGAGATTCTTCACCATTGTTACATATATTTTCAACTTTTCCTTTTAGGAAATTGAATGTTTCTCTTACAGTTGGTGTCTATAGTTTCAAGGATGTTAGTTCTTTCTTTTTATCATAGTGAGGATATCCAGGTTTACTTGTGTTAGCTATGATTCATTACCATTGACTCTTTTCAGCAAGTGCAGACCTGAGACTAAATTTTAGAATCTGTCTGATATTTGATCTTACTTTTGTAACTTAGCAAAGAATTGAATCATTATTCTAAAAGTTTTTATAGCTATTAGGTTTGTCTGATTAGTGAGTAATAGTGTTTTTTTCCTAATCGTGCTTCATCTAATTGAGATATGAGGTGACTTTATGATCTGATGATTAAAATATTCCTTGGGTTTTATGGGTGATTCAGCTTATAGATGCGCAATGAGATCATTGATTTGTAAAAAAAAAGGAATCCTCTTTATTATGGAACTTATTTAGTACAATTTTATTTGGTTGTTTGGCTCATTCTCTTCTGGAAGGTCCAGCATCCTCACAATTATTCAGCAGTCAAGGTCCTAATTTGAAATTCTTGAAATTTTCATTATCTAGCTTGTGCAGTTAACATGCAGATTTATTATTAAATATTGGGTCGACCAAGATTCTCTATGACGTAGACATGTAGTAACAATATCCTTTTAACTTAAGACATTTATAACATCCTGAAACAGCTTGCTATCTTTTAAGCACATGCAGTGCAAATGGCATCACAGCTTCGTATATTTGTGCAGCATCTGATGCAAGTGACTTTGACTAGAGAATATATAAGTCTTGCTTCATTACCGTGTAGTACCTTATGTTGCAATTGACACAGGCAGTTGTGTATGCAGCAACAACTTTATTGTTGCAAGCCTTTTGGGCAGACTGGAGACTTTTTTGAGACCCTTTTAACTATAATTTTCATAAAATGTAAAATTTTTGTCTAGCCCTTACATAACAGGAAATAATTAATATTTATCTCCTTGAAGAGGTCACTGCAAATGATTCTCTATTGTTCCATGAGGTGGAATGGAGGTATTTTCGAAAAACAATGAAAAGGTCATATAACTCTTAGAAGTATAGAAAAGTTTTAAGTTTATAAAATTCTTTTTCTTTCTATGTTCAAGCTTGTGGGATTGTACTGGGTACATTGTTGTGTTCTGCCAAGCTTGCAGCAACCTTATCATTTTCAGGTATTCCAAAGGACGCTAGTAGGAATTCCTAGAATTTCTTTCCCGTCTATCCTTCTCTTTTTGTCTTTGCCGTGCTCATCTCTAATTTGCTTCTGCCTTCTGCCGTACAACTTTGTGATCTAGAATTACTGTATCACTTAAAACACAGCCCACATGTATGGAGCCCAGAGATTCTTTTTTGGGTGTGGTAAGCTCCCTCTGCAAATTCCCCTACCGAGGAGAACAAAGTAGCCCTTTCTTTTTTTGTTTGAACAGGTAAATAATGCGTGTCAAAATAAGAATTTTAGATGGTTCCAGGGTAATTATATTAAACATAAAGAAGGGGTTCCAGCTGTACATGCTCCTATTCTTATAAAGAGTATGAAATCTAGCATATGCTATGTTCATCTTCAACATCCCGTAAGCTGCACCAAAAAGCCAAAAGCCATATGCATCTATAACTTAATCTTCTGTAAGTATTTGATTTCCTTAGTGAAGGCATCTCGCGTTCTTTCTTTTCCATATTCCAGATCTTCCTTACTGAGTTCCTCATTCACCTAACAGCCGACCTACTCAATAGCTCCTTCCCTGTATATGACTTAACAGAAGGAATTCTGAATATGTTATGAAATAAAGACCAGGTTTTACTTGCCACTGAATCCTGCAAATAGGTTGCTGCCTATCCCCCACTTAACCATTGAATGCTAAGCACCTGTTGCATATTGCCAATCCTCTAGTCCGAAGGTTGCACGAGTACAGCTTACATCGTGTGTAACTAACAGCGTAAAACAACTAACATTAGGGGCATTAGATTTCCACAACTGTTTCTATGGCCCTTTCCCCCTTTACTCTAGTGCTCTCAAGACTTAAAATCTTTGGTATTTTACTTGACACTTAGCCAGAAAGGAACAAGATTTTAGTTAGAGCAAAATTATGACTTCTTTCTTCTCTTCTCTTTTTGTTTTCCTTCTTTTATCTCTTTCCTTTTTGGATAAGATGAAAGAGAAGATTCTGTCCATACTAAGAACCAAGGGGTTACCAACTCTGCTAAAGAAATCAAATCAAAGGCGCATAGACTAGTAATTCTGGGAGTCTGCAAAATTACAAAAAAAGGTCCAGGTAATCTTGAGTAAGCCTTGGAAGACCATAAGAATGAAGATTGTGTGTCATTCCTGGTGCATGGTCATTCAACTTTCTTTTACTTCTCGTACACTCGGAATGTTTACTCTTTGGAAGTTGGTCAACCTCCTGAGCTACTTTCTCTTTTTCGATTTGTTGGTGGTGAGTTAACTGGTCCTACTCCATCTTGTACCCTTTGTTAGAGACTTATTTAAGTGTATCTCGTATATATTTGCAGTATAATTTTCTTCTCTTACAGCCACTTGTGTTATTTCTTACTTACTATGAAGTTGGTTTATCTTTCATGGTTGATCGTCGTGGTTGACAAACCACTTCACTTTGTGTTTTCCATCTGAATTCAACTATGGTTACTGTTTTGACAGGGAGATGAAAAAATTGCCAATGTCTCCAGAAACCAAGAGAATTATCAAATACTAGTTGGTGGATTTGTATTTGAAGTTGATTTCTGTTGAGTGATAAAGATGGTGTGGACTATTTGTAACCTCTACCTGAATGCAAATAATGTTTTCTCATCAACAGTTTTTATGCTATTCTAAAACCAGTTTGATGATTTTTGCTTAATTGTTTTGTTCCATTTCTTTTCCATAAGATATTACTGTTCAACAACAAAAATTAGTCCTCTTTTAAGTAACTCAAAACTTTCAACCAGGTGCACCATTTAGTCTTCTTGTAGTATATGATTGCCCAGCAGATAATATCTAGTTTTACAAAGAGAACATAGGTTCACGTGTCCCAAGTTTTGCTTAGAAATGTGCACCGAGTTACAAGTGTTCATAATATCATTTGGTAAAACCTAACCTGCACCGGGTGGTTACACTAGATCCATATGGTATATACTACTGGGTTGACAATATTGCAATCGCGGAACTACAACCTCAATGAAGGGTGTTTCAATTGGATTCTCTTTGTTGGAAAGTCGTATTGTTGTTCAAATTGTTACACTCTCGTTTCTTGTCTTGGCTTACTTGGTAAAACAATCTTTCGTGTTAGGTGTTCACTTTTTTTTGTTTGGGTGCGAGTTGGCCCGATACACAAAATTGAGATTCTGTTGCATGTAAATCTTTCTATTTGATATAGTCTCGATTATTTAAAACGGGTTCCTATTTAGAAACTTGATTTATGGAAGAATCCTTTTCATATTGGTTCCAACTATTAAAAACAAATCAAAGAATTTCAAATCACCTAATTAATTTCTCATTTATTTTTCAATATTGGGAATTGATGAAATATCACTCATTTTCACATTTGTTTCAACTTGAGGAACAAATCAAAGATCTTGTGTACTCGATTTTCTTTGATCTCTCACTATGTAACAACCCTTGTTTTGATTTTGGTCCTTGTAATATATGACTCCATTTTAAATGTGTTGCATTCGGTTATATTGGCCTATCAATCATTGGTTGACCTTCCCTTGAATCAGTCACGGAGCTCTCAACTGAGTTGTTTAGGTTCTGGAATTCATACAGGAAATATGTTATATTTGAACAAAATTTAAAAGTATATTTAGAGGCGGAATTAATCAGACTTTACACCTTATGAGTTCTGAATTTTAGAATTGTAATTTTAGTATTGTACATGTTTAATCGATTTCTTATTACAAATACAACGTTTGAGTAAAATTTATTGAGTTTGGTCAAATCCATATTCGAACATCTAGCTCTTGTCTTTGATCAAAACATCCTCAAATATAAAGTAGCAATACATGCCAAAACATAACAAACACATGAATAATTAAATGACATAATGTTTAATGCTTTTAAAATTATGTGAATTTCACAAGCAATAAAAAGATACATTTCAACTAATTACAGGTTAAATATGTTAGTTAAATATCACAAAGATTAAATTTAAAATTTATCTATAACACTGAGTGACCAAAAATGTTATTATCTCCATGATCTGAGCTCGAGGCAAAAAGGATATAATTACGTTTGAGTTCATTCATGTTCAATAAATTTCAAACAATTAATTATTGGTGAAAGTTTTATTTACAATTTTATATGTATTTATGTCATATGATCTAGAAATTTTCGTCGTAAGGTAGCTGGAATTTTTTATTATTCAATAATATATGAAAGCGTTAAATTAAAGTGTTTTTTTTTCCATTCTCACTTTTATTCACACTTTAAATTAAAAGGCTAGAAAAATATAGAAAATGCTTATAATCTTCCAATAGTTGGTCTGACTAGTATTATAAAGGAAAATAAATTTTAAAATAAAATATAACATTATCTTATTTCATGCTTTATTAATATTTTGTTTCTACGTGAATAATTTTTCGTCATTATCTGCATCATGATTAGTTATGAATAATCAACAACTTTTGAAAAAAATAATAATAGAAGAATAGATCTTGGTATTTATTTATTTTTTAAAAAAGCTAAAACTAAAATTAAAAATATTAATTCATCGGGTTATGAATGCTAAATCTGTAAAATTAAGTTTTAGGCCTAACTCACACCCTAAAAGCTAGCTCAAAGGGATTTGGATTGCCCAAGCCTTATAAAGAGTCCAATCATTTCATTAATCACTGATGTGGGACTTTTGTCATTCTTTAACACCCCACCTCACGCCCAGTGCTTAGCATCTGGTGCGTGGGCAATTTTAATTTTGGGGACCCCAACATCGGGTGAGACGTGCCTTTCTCTGAGACCATGTAAAATTAGGTCTTAGGCCTAACTCACACCCCAAAAGCTAGCTCAAAGGGAGCCTTAAAAAGAGTCCACCCATCTCATTAAACTCTTAAAGTCTGAAAAAAATTCTTTAATGAATTTTACACATGTAAAATCTAATTAGTTGGAATACTCAAATAAATATCGAACATCAAATAATAAAAAAATATAAAAAAAAGTAGTTTTCAAAAGTTAAAATAGTCGGGATAAAATTTATCAATTTTTAATAAAACATCTCACAATTCGAGTTATGATCATAACATTTCTTCATGTATTCAAAAGCCTTTTCATTTAATAATTTTGCACGATGTGAGATTTATGAAAATTTTAATTTCAATGTCAATATTGAACAGATAATATTTTTTATTTCTAAAAATGTAAAAGAATTTTAGGGGAAAAGAGTATACGTAATGCTTACCTTATATGTGAAGGCAATAGAATAATTTAACAAGTCAAACAATGTATATTTCAATTTTTCAAATCACATGGATGTGACTAAAAAAGTTCTTTCCATCAAATATAAATTTTTTAATTTTGTGTTTACTAAAAATTTCAATCCCATCTTACCTAATTTTGTAACCTGGAGGACAAAAAGTCCAGGGACATGGACCCCATTCTATTCAATCATTGATCATTCGAGGCTCGTTTAGTTGGAAATAAGTTATTTCGAAATCAATTATTTCGTTAGTTATTTTACTATATATATTATTTGATTTATTTCATTGTTATGAAATAAATAGTGAGATAAATACTTAAATGATTATCTAATATTTTTAATGTAATACAGAATAAAATAATTATGCATTAAAATTATTATACCATGTATTTCATATTAAACGATTCCTTAAGGGTATGTTTGGTATGAAAAACAATATTCCTTCTTATTTGATTTTTGGAAAATAAGTGAATCGTCTTTTTATTTTTGAAAAACATTTTATATATAATTTCGATAAATATTGTTTACGAAGGTTGAGGTAAGGATAAGAGTGTGTAGCGGTAGTCCTTTAGGTAAATAACTCAGCATCCAATTATATTTAGTTTTATAGAAAGACTACAGATTCACGTGTCTTGGTTTTAACCTCTATATTTACTCTCGGCAAGTAGATGTCTCGAATGAAGAAGATACAATTAATATTAAATTTATTTTTTTTTCTTAGGAAGTTATTTTTTATTTTAATAAAAAATAATTTCTTAAAGAAAATATTAATTTTAAAAATGAGTAACAAATTTTTTTAAAAAAATTTCCTCCAATACACCCTTAATCATGACATTTTTTCTACTTTTTGGTTCTTACAATATGGTTTGAGTATTCTAGTCTTAAATCAACTAATCTCATTCAACTAGCTTAATTAGAATTTACACTTTAAAATATCCAAGTGCCTTTCTTATTTAGTGCTTACTATGGTATGAGAATATCTTTTATATTTAGAAAATAACATATAAACGTTTATTTAATTCGATCTGAATTAATATTTATACTTTTTATTATTATTATGAATGTGCTTAATCAGACACTTTCACTTGTGTAAATTTGAATAAAGATACACATATATTTTGTGTGACTTTCTACATAAGTAGTTTGGTACAAACTAAGTTATACGGATATTAAATTATACATAAACAATACTATGTTTGATTGCAATTATGTTTTTACTATACGTATAAAATTCAACATACCTAATAAAATATTTAGTTTTTGCATTTAAGAAACTCGCATAAATAATATATACATTTATTTTTTTGGACAACTTTTATATGGTCCAAAATGAACTAACTGCTCTTTTTTTTCTTCAAAATTATCCTTCTCTTTAATGAGTTTTCAGCTATCTCCAATTTTAATATAAAAGTTTGGTAAATTATCCTTTGATTAAAGTTATTAAATAATTTTCTTAATAAATATATCAAATACTCAATCACAAATTTATAATTGTGTCATACCACTACAATAAGTAAAGAATTTTATAGTAATAAAAATATAATCATCACTATATTATATCTAACAATAATAATAATATATATATATATATACTCTCCGTCCTATTTTATATGATACTTTTAGATTTTTAAACAAATTTCTTTGTAATCGTAAATTTCTCATAGATTTTTTAAACATTTTGAATTATCAATTTTGTGACCTATAATGCTTTTTTATGCGGTAATTCCATTTCAAAAAAAGATTAAAAATTTCATTCGCCAATTTCCAGTCAACCTTAAACTATTAAACTCATGAAAAACGACAAAATCCACATAAAAATTAATACAGAAAAAGATTATAATTCCATTTTCTTAAAAAGCTAATATGTAACTTTAACCAGCTACGAAACGACGCTAACAAAATTACTCCTGCATGCAACTAAGTGTAACAAAGTAAACTTGCTAGGTAGGTGTGTGTGTGTGTAGGATATATCTTGTCAAACTGTAGAAAGCATGCATTCAAGAATCAAGATGGATATTCATTTAGATCTTCTGATAAAAAAAAATAGGTAGACCTGTTAATTCTATTCTCTTTAACTCATTTCATTCCTTTTGCTCTAATCTACATAGTACATTATACTATACTATACCCTTCATCATGGTCTTTCCTATAACCCTATGTATACCCTACCTACTTACACTTCAAATTAACCCTAGTTGACATTAAAATATTTTCAATTTATTTCGAATTATCGAAAACATTCTTTGTATAGATCTTCAAGAAATAGCGTTACATCAACAACGGTTGCAGTAGAGTGAAGTAACTTTCATTCTTAAACAGAGATATTAGGTTCGAACTAATTGGAATCCCTCTAGTACGTAGTCATCTTTGTTAGGGTATATTTTACATCTTAATGGGCGATTTCTCGGTAGGAATTCAAATTTAGTCAGATTCTAATGTAAGTACTAGATA